TCCCTGCTTGAGTACCGGGGCGGGCATCGCTGCCTGGGTGAATGGACCGGGCGAGCGCCCCCAGCGTGTCTCTGCGGAGGCCCCGAGAGGCCACGCTCCGCCGTGGGGTATTGCTCAAAGCTGAGGCCGTTCGGGGGCGCCTCAGTGCCTCCCCGGCTCTGCACACGGCCGAGAAAACTGGGGGCCACTCCTGCCCTCACCCCCCAACTGCCAGTGTGTGGCTGAAGGCGTTTGTCGGGCAGCGTCTGGGGAAGTGGCTTGCCCTGGCCTGCGGAGAGCGCCAGGCTCAAAGTCCTCACTGACTTCTGGGCCTACAGAGGACTGAAACTAGGGTCTCCTGTCCTGCTCCTGGCCGGCGCTTGAGCCCCCAGACTCGCCTGGCTTTTCATCCTTAGCTGGCGTTTCCTTTGAGGTGGGGGGAGGTGTCTCCCCACTGCTTTGGGTGTGAGCTTTCGTCAGCATTGAGGGCTCCTTGTCCTGGTAGGCAGCGGGCAGGGGGCCTGTGGTGGGAGGCCCACGGCCAGCTCCCTCTCCAAATGCTGTTCCAGAGGGCTGAGGACTCAGGCTAGGCTCTGCAGGTTGGCCCGTTTCCGATTGTGGCACCAACCACCCATTGTGCCACATGGACTGGGATGGCGGCCATTGCAGGGAAACCTAGCCCACATTCACGGAGGGGGCGTGGGCAGCGCAGGAGAGGCAGCGCTGGCAAGAATGGTCAAAAGGCCCTTTTGTCCATCCTGGAACGAGGAACTGGATCTAGACAAGGGAAACCGCCCTCGTTTCCTCGGCTGGGAAGGGGGGGTCAGTCTCACCTGGGGGAAGGTGAGGAGTGGGCCATCATTCATAGCCCCAGGCCCCTGCCTGCCGCCTCATCGCTGGGGGCTTGGAGAACCCCTCCAGTGGGACTGGACGCCCTCTTGCTCGCCCCATAATGCCAGCGCTTGTGGTTCGGCCCCGATGCTGCTCCCCCATCGCCAGGGAGGTCTTGGGCCCTGGTGCAAAAGGAGTTGGGCTCCCAAGCAAGCCTCACCGCGCAAGGTGCGGGAGAACGCCTGGCCTCCTGGGCCGTCTTGAGGCCCCACTTCAAGCTCTCCCCACAGACGGCAGGTGGGGAGCATCTCAGGGCTGCCTGCCGACCCACCTCCAGGAGGAGCAGACTTGCTGCCCCCGACCTTCCCCAGACCTGGCCCAGGACAGGCCCATTTTCCGTCTGGTCCTCAGCCTGGTCCAGCTGGAAGGATACCCCGGTCTCCTGCGCGCACACTGACGCACAAGGGTGCCTGCATCACACCCAGGCCTCGTGCCAGGATCACCTGGCAGCCAGTCAGGCATGCCGCCTTTTCAAGGTGCTCCTGTCACCCCCAAGAAAGAGGACCGGCTGGGCCTGTTTGGGGAGGGAGGGAGGGAGGGAGGGAGGAGGCAGCTGGGAGGGCGTGTTGTTTCTTTTCAAGGTGCTCCTGTCACCCCCAAGAAAGAGGACCGGCTGGGCCTGTTTGGGGAGGGAGGGAGGGAGGGAGGGAGGAGGCAGCTGGGAGGGCGTGTTGTTTCTTTTCAAGGTGCTCCTGTCACCCCCAAGAAAGAGGACCGGCTGGGCCTGTTTGGGGAGGGAGGGAGGGAGGGAGGGAGGAGGCAGCTGGGAGGGCGTGTTGTTTCTTTTCAAGGTGCTCCTGTCACCCCCAAGAAAGAGGACCGGCTGGGCCTGTTTGGGGAGGGAGGGAGGGAGGGAGGGAGGGAGGAGGCAGCTGGGAGGGCGTGTTGTTTGGAGAGCTTCACCTGGCTTCTCCAGTCGCTATGACTGCTCCGGAGGGCTGGGAGCAATCGAAACCATGCCTTGCCCTCAACCGCCGTCTCCTGCTGCCTGACGGGAAGGTCACCAGTGTTGGTGGCCCCTCTACCTGTCCCCCCCGCAGTGTGTCTCTGCCAAGAAGATAGCAGAGTGTGTCTGCCAAGAAGATAGCAGTCCACCATGCCTGTCCCTGGCCTGTCCCTGGCCTGGGCCGAACTCTGCCAGGGCAGCCTGGACCTGCATCCAAGAGGGTAGTTTCTGCCTGTGTCCCAGACTCTCGCCCCGCAGGCTGCCTACCTTGGCTCCCTCCAGAGAATCCCCGGGCCAGCAGCTGGCTTGACGGATTGCCCCTTCTTTGTACTTTCTGTTGCTTCTCCTGGGCGGCGGGGGCTGCCTTCTTCTAGGCCCAGCCGACTGCCCGGCTCCTTGCACCCCGAAGAGGGGCCACCCTGGGGGTGTGGCAGAGGGGTGGTTGGCTCCTGGCAGGGCCAGTGGGGAAGATGTCAACCTGGGGCTTGTATATCACAGAGCATGACGTGGAAACCATAAATGAGGAAGTGGGTGCTGACAAGGGCAGATAGATATGCAGGTCCTCCTGGCTGCACCTTGGTGCCACCACTGGGTGTGACATTGGCTGGCTGCCAACACAGGGATGCCTGAAGGGGCCCTTCCAGCCGGGGGCCTCCCACTCCCACTCCGGGTCCTGGGCAGAGAGGGCTCTCTCCCACCCCCTGGTGGCCACTGGAAATGAGGGCGGAAGGCTCTGCTGCTGCGGATGGGTGCGTTGCTGGCCTGGGAGAAGGGGGGACCTAGCAATGAGTGGGGCAGCACCTGGCCCAGGAGCATGGGGTGGGGGCAGCGGAGGGAGTCTGGAGCAGCTGCCTCATGCCGAGAAAGATGTGCAGGTGCAGCCGAAGGCTGTTCTCCAAGCTGGATCTTGGAGGAGGGGGTGGAAAGGGCAGCAGAGAGGTGCTGGGGGGGCACTTTCCCAGAGGGAGCTGGCACCCTGGCGAGGGACTGCTGGATGATTCAGAGGAGGGCTCTGGGGAGGGAGCAGCCAGTGCTCTTTGGCACACGTGGCATCTGGATGTGGGCCCGTGGCTCCCTTGCCCGTATCTCCAGTAGGCACCTCTTACCTTCCAGGGCTCTGATCCCACTCTTTGATCCCAGCACCGCCCTTCTTGTCTTGGCAGGGAAGGTAAGTTCTGCTGGGTCGTGGGGCTGCCTGGCAGCAGGCTTACCCACCCCCATGGAAACGGGGGGGGCAAGAAAGGAGCCCTGCAAGCAGCAGCTCAGGCGACTCTTGCCTTCCAGGGAGAGGAGGCGCTTTTCTGTTACGAGGTCCAGCCTGCCCGGCTGGCAGTGACAGAAGGTGAGTCTCCTCCACGGTTTGCTTGGGCAGGGCTCTTGCGGGGTGGGGGTGCCACTCACCACACTCGCTCTGTTTGTGCTCAGTCAACCAGTGTCTGCTGGAGACCCGGACCCAAGGAATGGCCCAGCTCCCCAAGCTGGCCCTGGACGTGACGGCCTGCGAAGTGATGAAGGTGCTGCAGCTGAGCGACTCTGCCATTGTTCCCATTGGCTACTCGGTGCTCCGGAAGGTAAACAGCTGGGCTGGCAGCGTTGGAGAACGTGGGGGTCTCTGGCGTGTGGCCTTCCAGGCAGACCTTGTTCACCCCCTCCCTGTTTCGCAGTCTACACAGGAGTTCCACGAAGACTTGTTTTCAGACTGTCCTGGAAACGTCCCGGCAACATCTGCTCGGGCCTGGTGGGCTGGAGACAACACGCAGGTGAGGGTCATGGCAGGCGCAGCCAGAAGAAAGGGTGGAGCTCGCCCAGCCAAGACCTGCCAGCTGTGGAGGCTAGCGCTGGCTGCAGCGCCAGCCCCTCCTTGATGCCCTCCGAGGTCTCCAAAGAACAAGGTGCCCCTCCACTCCACGAGGGGCTTGGCTCAGTGGCAGCTTCTTGAGCAGAGGAACCTCCAGAGAACCGTGCAGCGGGCAGGCCTGCCCCAAAGGGCCCACGGCCTCCCTCTCCTGCTGGCATTCTCCAGGGAGAGACTCCGTGCTTCTGGCCTGTGATGCAGCCCTGGCCAGGCACTCACCCACGCTCCTGATTGCAGCAACGCTCTGCCCCGTAGCAGTGCCCTCCTGGGGCTTGGCCCCTCTGGCCGGCATAAGCTTTTCCTGTTTCTTGCTCCAGGTGGAGAGGGTGAGTCTTCATCCTGCCCGCCGGCCCAGCCTGGCCTTCATCTCTGCCTGCCTTCCTCGCTTTCACCAAGACAGCCAAGACCCCCCCTCCTCCCACACGGAGGGGGGGGATCAAGCCGAGGACCTGGACATAAGCGTGAGTGGCCAGGGCTGGCTGGGTGTGGGTAGCCATGCCCGCGTCCCAAGGGCACACCCTCCCCGGCTTCCTGTGAGCAGGGATGATCTGGGCCTGAGGCAGCTTAAGCGGGGCCTGCCCCCTATTCCTCCCCTCCATGCACTGGTCTCGGGCCCTCTTGCACAGGCTGACCAAGGGGTTTGCTTCCCACCAGGTGGGCAGCAGCCTGCCGTCTCCTGCCAGCTCTCTGACGTCTCCCTCCAGCGCTGCTCTATCCCTCTCTGTCACCAGTGGCTTTTCCTCCAGCCCGAGCCAGCGGTCCCTGCAGAACCTTCTGGGTAAGCGTGTGGACTGGGGCACCGGTGGCTCCCTCAGCATCCAAGCATGCCCATGCCCAGGTGCTGGCTGTGCTGCTTTGAGGAATGAACCCTCTCTGCTTGGTTGAGGTGTGGACGCTGTGGGGTGCAAGAAAGATCCTTTGTGGCAACCCCTCCCAGCCCCGTTCATCCCCTGTGCCTTTGCCTCCAGGCCCAAGTTCTGCCTTCCGGCACATTGAGGGCATCATCTTGCCCCGCAGCACCCACATTACCAACCTGCGAGGCTTGAGCCTCACCACGCCAGGGGAGTGTGATGGCTTTTGTGCCAACCGGCATCGCATCGCCATCCCGCTGCTTTCTGCAGGTGGACAGGTGGCCATCTTGGAGGTGAAACACCATTCCCCCTCTCAGTGGTTATGGGGAGGACACAAACTGTCCTGGGGGTCTTTCTGTGTCCTGGTGAGCCGCGGACACACCCCGATGGATAAGGAGGCATGGCCAGGGGCCATCACACGCTTGCCTTCCTTCTGTGTCTCTTGCAGCTCTCCAAGCCGGGCCGACTCCCCGACACCCCCATGCCAGCCATCCAGAATGGGGCGCCCGTCTCAGATCTCTGCTGGGACCCCTTTGATGAGCAACGCCTGGCCATTGGTAGGAACCAGGGGTCTTGGAGTGGGCCTCTCCCCCAGGAGGCCTGTACACTGCAGCCTTCCGATGCCACTGAGCCCCACCAGGGGTCCAGCTCCCGTCCACCCCACCCCATCGCTAGGCTCCCTGCAGCTCTTCCCTCTTTCCCTCTCTGGCACAGCTGGAGAAGACATCAAGATTCGCCTGTGGCGGGTTGAGCCAGCTGGGCTGCAGAAGAAGCCGTTGGAGCCGGAAGTTGTCTTGAGAGGTCAGAGTTGCGTCCTGCAGGGCCCTCCTCTCCTGCCAAGCACCACTGACCCTTCCCCCCATTCTCCCTGTGGCTGGCCGAGGCAGGATCGGCCTGGGGAAGCCTGGCAGGTAGCCTGAACGCAGCCTCTCCCCTTCTCCCTCCAGGTCACACAGAGAAGATCTACTCCATTAAGTTCCACCCTCTGGCCTCGGATGTCCTCGCCTCCTCCTCCTACGACAAGAGTGTCCGGATCTGGGACGCGCGTACGGGAAGGCAGGAGCTCAGCCTCCACGGCCACACGGACCAGGTAAGGAGCACAATGGCCTCTCAACCACTCCCTGTTGTTTCTGGAAGCCTTCTGCAGAACAGCCAGTGACGAAGCCACATCATCCCACAGAGAAGAGGGAACGCAGCCTCGCAGCACCAGCCCCTGTGGATGCAGGGGCGGATGATGGGGAACGGAGTCCGTCCTAGGCCTGGGGTGTTGGAGGATGCCCTGTACATCCTGAGTGTTGTGGCTGACCCAGCATCCTGGAGGCGTACGCCTCCCTCATCCGGCCACGGGGGTTGACCTGTTGGTTGCTTTCAGATCTTCAGCCTGGCCTGGAGCCCCGATGGACGCTGCCTGGCCACCGCCAGCAAGGATGGCAAAGTGCGAGTTTATGAACCTCGGCAGGCTGCTCAGCCCTTGCAGGTCAGGGTCAGGGCAGGCTCTTCTGGAGGGGCAGTGCCCACATTCATCCCCCGTAGCCGGTCCCTGCAGGCCGAGAATCCCAGTCCTGAGGCCGGCCAAGAGGGCAGCTGCAGCACGTTCTTCTTCTGAAGCATCTCCCCGCTTGCCCTGACAGGAAGGCCCAGGGCCCAAGGGAGGCCGAGGAGCCCGCATCACCTGGGTCTGTGGAGGCAAATACTTGCTGGCATCTGGCTTTGACAGGTAAGGCCTCCCACCTCTCCCTTCACCTGACCTGCCTGCAAGAAGTTGCCTGCCTCACCTCTTTCGCACCCTTCTTCTCTCAGCCGCAGCGAACGCCAGCTCTCCCTGCACCAGGCGGAGGCCCTGGCAGCTGGGCCGCTGGCCACAATCAGCCTGGACGTCTCTCCCGCCACCCTCATTCCCTTCTATGACGTGGACACCAGCGTGGCCTTCTTCACGGGCAAGGTGAACAAGGAGGGAGTGGGAGCTTCTCCAACTCGGGGCATAAAGTGCTCGGGGATGTGTGTCCAGGGGAGCATCAGCAACTGCAGGCCATCCCACGTCAGCCACGCAGCATCCTTGGGGGACAGAGATTGCTGTTTTGTTGTGCCTAGCCCCGTGTCTCCCCCGGAGAGGCTCGGCTTCCTCCGTGCCGTTGCCCAGCTGCGCTTCTCCTGGCTGGGCTGCGTCTTCCCATGCCACCTTTTTGGCCAGACGTTACTGCAAGGCTCAGGCAATACAGCCATGACCCCCGGCCTGGGCTGTGCGTTCTACCTTTTCTCTCTCCGGGGGTTTAGGGAGACACGAGGGTCTTCGTCTACGAGATTGTCCCGGAGGCCCCGTTCTTCCTGGAGTGCAACAGCTTTCTGTCCAGTGACCCCCACAAGGTGAGGAGGCTGCGAGGACTGGCCTGGAGAAATGGGGCTGCGATGCTGGGAAACCTTTTCAGGGCCTTCTGAAGCCGAGACAGGCTCTGACTTTGGAAAGGGCCCCTGCGGGACAGTGGGCAAAGGACGGGGAGGAGCAGTTGCCCTCCTGCCCTGCAGCGCCCACTTGGCTGGCTTCTTTACACAGGGGGGCCCGTCTCTGTCACAGGCGAGGTGGCGCCAGGGAGGGATGAACTCTTGGGGGCCTCCCTTCCCTCCGCTTCCCCACGCCTTGAGGCCTCTTTCTCTGCCCAGGCCTGATCAGCGTTAGACGGTTTTGGGCTGCCCTCTTGCGGCTGTCCGCAGCCACAGCATCCATGCAGTCGGGAAGGGAAGGCCATTTCGCAAGACCTTGGCGGCCTTCCTGGGGTGCTGGTTGGGGAGCCATGCCTTGCAGGGCAACCAGTGGAAGTTTCTCTTCTCTGCTGTGCCCAGGGCTTTCACTTCCTGCCCAAGACGGAGTGCAACGTGCGAGACGTCGAGATTGCCCGGGCCCTGCGCCTCCGGCAGACCTCCATAGAGCCTGTGGCCTTCCGGGTGCCCAGGGTCAAGGTAGAACGTTAGGCAGCTGGCCCCTGGCCTTTGGAGCCGGTGGGGTGTGTGTGTGTGTGTTCCTCAGACCATCTGTCCACGCTGCCAAGCAGCACTTGCAACTGACCAGCCTCGAGTTGCCACTTGAAGGTGTCCTTCACAAACTCAAAATGCCTCTCTGCTTTCCCAGATTATTTATGGGTCCATTTATTTGCCCCACTCCCAAAACTGTGACCTCTCTTGGTGTAAACTGCTAGGGTCCTTTACTTACCGGTAGCCAGGCCTGTCCACGGAAGGGCCCCTCTTCATCTCCTGCAGCTGCTCGGTCTACTCTGGGGCTCCCTTAAGGAGCGGGGCCCCCACTCTAATACCTGGCCCCCACAATTCAGTAACGGATCAGGCACAGGGAAGAGCCTTTCCCGTCTGAGAGGCTGAGCGTTGCCGCTGAGGTCGCTCTAGGGCAGCTTCTGGATCCAGTGTCTCACCCGGTCCCGTCGTTTCCTCCCCACAGAAAGAATTCTTCCAGGATGACCTTTTCCCGGCCACGCAGGTGTGGTGGGAACCTGCCCTGCCCGCCACAGCCTGGCTGAAGGGCGCCAACCAGCAGCACCCCACGCTCAGCCTGCAGCCTAAGGATATGGCCCCAGGTAGGAAGGAGAGGCTAGTGGGGAAGGGCCTCACAAAAGGGCCAGTGCCCCTGCCCTCCTGCTGAATGGCTAGCGCAAGGCCCCTCCTGCTCAGGGACCCCTGTGGGAGGCACAGAGGGGGCTGCAGGGCATCCTGCCATGGTGAGCAAGAGCAGACCGATCTGCTCTGAAAAGTGCTTTTGAAGCCAGGGCGTTGGAGAAGGGCTGGGGATGTTGCTGGGACTTGGCTCCCCACGTGTCTGGCTGAAGGAGCTGCAGTCCCAAGCAGCGGGAGGTCCTGGGCTCGGTAGACATGAGGAAAAAGGGCTTCTGCTGCCTTCCCCCCCCCCCC